AAAGGACAGATTAACCTGCAGATCATATGTTCATTATTGTTATTAAAAGGTTTCCGAATGAAGCAGTGTCTGAAAGCTGAAGAACAGAACAACAGGACAACAGGAAGGAGGAAAGTCCAGTAAAAAGGAGAAAAAAAGGAGAAAGTTGTTGGTCGAGGAGGATGAAATAAATCTTTTTATTCCTTTGGGGGGCTAATGGTGTTTATTCTGTCCTCTGCAGGCTGCTCTTCTGACCTGGAAACACCTAATGCACCATTTCCAGAGGTCATCCTTGAATAAAAGGGGACTGAGAGATCTGTGGAATCATTTTAGAATGATTAATGTCCCCCAAAAAATCCAGATTCCTGAAAATGTTCTGCACAGTTCAGCACAGAGAAAAGAACAAAAAAAGGTTATTTCTAGGTTCCACTGCTGCTTATCTTCACTGAGGACGTCACAGGGTGACAGTAACTACTGCAAATAAGATCAGTAGGTGAAATTAATCAGAGATATGATGGGAATCTACCCTGGGTTTGGGGCCCGGAGCCGTTTGGAGCGATGATCCGGCCTCAGATCCTCGTTACAGCAGTGAGGACAGACTAAGCACTGATTGGTCCTCCTGTCCTGAGCTGCTAAGAGCTCATGTTGAGGGTAATGCATCCAGTCAGAGAGAGGAGGGGAGGAGCTGCAAGGTCAAAGCAGGTCATTACATCTTTAAATCTTGAAATTGTTGGAAAAGTGGAGAAAATTTTCAACATTTTTATCCCTAAATGTGTAAAAAGTCAGTCCAGGTCAGACAGAACACCTCTGATGTCATCGGTCTAAGCACAGGCTCCCCTCAGGGCTGCGTCCTGAGCCCCCTGCTGTTCACCCAGACAACTGCGTCCCCAGGTCCATCACCAATCACATGGTGAAGTTTGCAGATGATACCACGGTAACCAGGACTACAGAGAGGAGGTGGCGGCCTAATGTTTAAGGCGTTGCACTTGGAATCCAGAGGTTCTAAACACAAGCCCCACTCCCACAGCCTCCACTCTGGGTCCCTGACCAAAAGACCTTTAACCCCACACTGCTCCCCAGGCGCCGCACAATGGCAGCCCACTGCTCCCTAAGGGGAGGGGTTAAAGGAATAGTACACCCAAAACATGATTAGCCTTCATTTTCTACTCACCCCCATGCTGAACAACACTCTGGAGTACTTTTTTGATATCTCAAATGCATCTGGAGATCTGGGAGGCTTCTTGCTGTCTGCTGACATTCAAATAATGGAGGTCTATGGCGCCCGAGACAGAAAGGTCCATAAAAGTCCACAAAAAACGTGTCAATATTCCTCCATACTGCTCGTCCAATGTATTCCAAGTGTCCTGAGTGGGTAGCGTCCAGAATTTACTCGAAACAAAGTCATTTAGAATGTTTTTAGAGCATAAACAGTAGTGTATAGGGTTTCCTGAAAGCACGTTCACGAGTCTACGGAAACCGCGGCAGACCAAACCAGATGAAAGTGCGCATTCAGCTCGGCAAAGAACTTATGCTCTTCCTCAACACTGAAGTCCTCGGACATTTTTCTTTCGTTGTTTCTTTCTTTGCACAGGTAAACAGCACATTTCTTCTTCTACGCTTGCATTATCGGCAGAGCAGACGCTGAATGCGCACTTTCGTCTGGTTTGGTCTGCCGCGGTTTCCGTAGACTCGTGAACGCGCTTTTAGGAAACCCTATACACTACTGTTTATGCTCTAAAAACATTCTAAATGACTTTGTTTCGAGTAAATTCTGGATGCTACCCACTCAGGACACTTGGAATACATTGGAAGAGCAGTATGGAGGAATATTGACACGTTTTTTGTGGACTTTTATGGACCTTTCTGCCTCGGGCGCCATATTCAACGTCCTCTAGTAGGCCGACACTGCAGGTCTGGTTTGGTGAGTTTCTGTGTGAAGGCAGATCCCTGTGATGATGAGACCATGGTGTTACTGATATTCAAAACTGACCTTTAAGCTTCGTTCCTGAGGCAGTGTACACTGAGGCAGTGTACAGCCATGCAACAAGTCTATATAAGGCAAATAGCCTGCTTCAACAAGCTCATCATCACTCTTCGCCTGCAAGGAGTGAATGTAAACATTGGACTGACCGGTTTTTCTCACTCTCAGAATCACAACCAGAATCCTCTGGATCTGAGCCTTTAAAACCAAACTTAGGACGATTTTAACCTCAGAGCTGCAGAACCAAGATGACAAACTTAACTATAAAAAAACTTTGGATGTTTGTTTGTTTGTTTCAAATGTATACATAAGTCGAATAACAGAAAAATAATCCTGCATAAAAGTGTAAAAAAGAGTCCTTCACAAGCTCTGGTAATTGGAACCGAGAATGAATGAATTAGTGAATGAATTAATAAATGAAGGAACAATCTAAACATACTCAACCTCTATGGAAATGTCTCCCTTTAATGCTTGGTGTTAGAAAATGAGCAGGTGAGCCGCAGTGAGAGAGACAGATAAACGTGCACGCTTTCATGCAGCCTTCAGAGAACCTGCAGATTCACATTTCAAAAAATTTGAATCTCAATGAGTCATTTTTTCTTAAAATACGTGCATTTTTTCTTGAATTAATGAGGTAAGACAATTTACATTTTAAATAAGAAAAACCGATTACATTGTCTTATTTCAAGTGCATATTATCTAATTATCTAATTTTAAAAGTAAAAGTAAAAATTCCATTGGCAAATCATCTTATTTTCCTGCTCAAATTAAGAGTTAATGTACTTAATTTAAGACTTTTTTTTTACTCATTTCTAGATTGTTTTTGCAGTGCAACATTGTTGAAGTTTTTTAGGGTCAGTTTTTGATCATCCTTGAAATCCCAGATTCATCCATCAACTCCGCTTGGTTCAATAAGACATCCTACTATTAACCTTTGAGCTTTACTTTGATCAGAGCACCATCTAGTGGAGTATAAAGGAACTGGTGAAGATTCTCAGTCATCCAGGCCAAAGTCACTCCAATAAAGTAAAAAAGGAAACAATCCTCTGGACTTAGTTTCCGATTTTTCAAGACGTTTCTCTTTCATCCAGGAAGCTTTTTCAATTCAAAATGTCAGAAATAGTGTTGAGTTCTAGGTTTTATAGAGTGGACCAACAAAACCTTGTTTTTGCTTAGAAAACATGCAAATTAAAGCAAATAAACGGGTCCCCCCCTTTGGAATGGGGGTCATTTGGCTTCTTTATTAGCCTGCAATGCCCCATACCTGTCTATGTCTCTGAAAGGGGGGCGTTTAGAGGGAATTGTTGACCTGGCTGAATAGGCGAGGGCTTCTGTTCTCCTTTAAAGGGGTTGGGTTTGCGATGATAGTGGGAAGGGATCAACTCAATTGTTGGATTGTTTAAGGTTGCTTTTTCTTTCTTAACTTAGATGGTGGTGCATCTTAACCTGACTGCGCCATTTGCTCCGCATATCCATCTGGAAACCTTCCGTTGAAGTAATTTTGGGAAGAGGCGAAAATACTGGTTAGCTGATTGGCCTATGTTGGTGATAGACGGGCCAAATAAACCAATCAGATCAACGAAGCATATGACGTACTAACAGAGCGACGACGAAGAGGAGCCAATTGATCGATCAAACTCTTGCCGAAACCAGTCGGGAGGAGAGCAAAAACATCTTTTCCTCTGAGTAAAGCCTCCAGAGCAGTGTTTTGCTCTTCTTTCAGTGAAGAAATACTCTGTAATTCCGATCAAACTTGCTCGATAGCCTTGCTAACGCTAGTTTCATCGGCTGAAGCCGCCATGTTCTTTAGACTGAACTGTCGCGCTTCTCGTTGCGTCACACCTCAACCCGCCTCAAAGCCAATGCTGATTGGACGTTCGTTTGGTGAACGGCTCCAAATTTTCTTTAACGGAGAGTCTCCAGACTGATCTGCGAGTGAAACCTTGAAAGCTCGCAAGATCAGGATGGTCTCACGAGGCTAGGCGCATCTACATCTTATGGACAAAGGACATTCTTTTGAGGACCAGAATGTTCATGTTTTGGATAAAGAAAATAGTTGGTTCGAGAGGGGCATGAAGGAAGCCATTCGTCTGTTTCAATTTGCATATTGTCTAAGCAAAAACAAGGCTTTGTTGGACTTCTGTATAAAGCAACTTAATGCTATTCCTGACATTTGAATTTAAAAAAGCTTCCTGGAGAGGAAGCAAAACGTCTTCAAACTTGGAAGCATAGAGGATGGGTTTAATGGGTTTAAAGACGCTCAGGATCAAAATCTCTAAGATGCTTTTAACATTTCCCTCTTAATACAGTTCAGTCAAACAAATCACCACAAAAAGACACGAGGCATTACAGAGACGGCTCTGCAGAGAGACGGGGCTGACATTTTCAGCCAGGATTGGATATTTTAATGAGTCAGTTGACATTTAGACAGTTTCTTTGCTCACTTTAACCTGAATCCAAGCCCTGATGATGGAAACGACTGAAAGAATCCAGCAAATCCAGTAAAATGTTGACGCTAAATTGTGACGCTGACAAAAGTGTGTGGCCCAGTGAGCAGCTCAGTGGGCGAGCGAGCACCACATAGAACAGGGAGAGTGAGCAAGCGAGGTCAAATCACTTAGAGAGATAAAACAGCAGAGAGTGAAGCTCGCTGGGCCCAGCAGAGGCGCGGGCTGCTCTGATGTTCTCGCTTCGACTCGATGATCCGACAGAGGAGCTCAGCATCAAACACACTTCACCGACACTCCGAGTCCGACTCAAAGGCACTCTTTGTGTTTTTTACATTTTTCTAATCCTAATTCTTTGTTTTTCTTTGAGTGTTTTTATTTCACGTCTGCATTTTCTGTGTTAATTCTGAGTCAGTTCTGCACTTTTGGTTTATTAAATCTTGATCTCTGGTTTAATGGAGATAGAACTGTGGGAGGACTGATGTAATCATTCAACTGTATCAATCGACTCTGTTGGAGCGGTAAAAAAACTCTGCGGGAAACCCATTAATGGCAGCCATTGTTCTAATGGTTCTAAATGTTCTTCTCCTGACCTTCATGGACGCTGTGTCAGCCAGGGCGGCCGCCTGCCTGTTCAGCTGCGACGCCATGATGTGACATCGCTGGCACAGTCTCTGCTGCTTCTCCTCCTCCCTCTCCTCCGGCTTGCCGTAGCTGCTCAGCTCGCCGGCTGACAGCGAGCCTTCCGGGTTGGGCCGCCGGGCGCAGCTCCTCCGGGCCTCCTCCTCTCCTGATGAACGGAGGCGTTTCCTGCGACATGTGGAGCCCAGAGGCAGAGGAGTCTCCCCCTCCAGCTGTTGCCACAGAGATGAAGATGCAGTCATTCACTGTGATGCTCGTTGAGTTAGTTCAACTCTAATAACAAATGTTTGTCATGTTTCCTGCATAATTCCCTTAAAAACTGCTGACTGAAGAAAATGTAATCAACCGACACAAACAGAACAATCTAGAATTTGATGCTATACCTGTTTTATTTCCCCAATAAATGACAAATTCTGTCAATAATCATGATTTGAGAAAAATGAAAATGTGCCACTAGGTCTTCAGGTCAATATTTAAGACAATTACCCTCCCAGACTGAAATATTAGACACTTTTAAGTGGCCTTTTTTTGACTGCTGAAATGATTGAACTTAAATTGTAAAGCATGGCCTCTAAATCATCAGCCTTTAATGCAGAAAATTGTTCTTTCTAATTTTCCATAGCATAAACAAATTGTGAAGAGAAAGTTAGCAACTTTATTGACAATAAATCATTGAAGATTGGGGAATATTCTTGAATAACCAAAAATTATATCCAGCTGTTACGATATTTTTGGATCTGAAACAGGCGTCTTCAACGTTTTCCAGGCTAAGGACCCCCAAACTGATGGCGAGATGGAGCGGGGACCCCTAATTTTATATATTGTATGAAATTCTGTTATATTAAACTGGTTCTATAGTCACTCTATTACAGATGGAGTAATGTAATGGAACTAATTTTGCCCTGGGATTATTAAAGGAAAATTCCGGTTTTTAACACTTTTAGCCCATTTTCTGTAGTGTCCAGGATGAAATCGAATGATCGACACCAAAATTTTGACGATTGGTCCTGTCTCTGCTATTTGGCTCATGCAGAATCCCCCCCCTGGCTGCTTCAGAATGGCTTCCATAGTGCATGTCCGATGATGTCCTTAAAACAACCTTAAACGTTCTTTTTTTAAAATATGCTACTCACCGGGTCGTCAGCGTTGTTCAATGACGTTCCAAAAAAGTTTCGTGAAGAAAATCCGTTCCTGTCTTGTTTTATTTAGCATTTTGTAAATCCCAGAACTATTTTTTCCGATACATCACAACCGCTTATAAACTTCCGCTTCGAATCTGAAGCGTTGCACACTCCAGACCACTAGTTGGCGACAATGTCTCTATACTTTGGGAATGTATATGAATATGTCCTCCTCAAGAATCCACCTTTCGTATTCCATTTTCAGAGTTTTTTAAAGTGTTTAACAGAGACGTTAGCACCTCGACGTCGGAGTACACAGAGTGAAGCAGAAAGACTACAACTAAGCGTAAACAGGCCCCATTTCCGTTTCCGGTGGCGGAGGGATATTGACTATTCCAACAGAACTCAATGGGATTTACAAAATGCTAAATAAAACACTACAGGAACGTTTTTTCTTTACGAAACTTTTTTTGGAACGTCATTGAACTGCGCTGACCAGGCACGTGCAGAGGGGGGGGCTAAGGGGGCTTGAGCACCTGCCCCTTTTGCTCCATGATCCCAATGTGCCCTTTTTTTTTTCTTTTTTCTTTTTTTTTTAAATCTTTTTTTTTGGCAAGAAAAACAATACAATAAGCCCTCCGGTCACATTGTTACCTTTGACCTTTTGCCGGTGACGACGCACTTGCCTCTCGCACAGTCAGATAAGGCGGCTAACTGCGGAGCTAAAGGTAGCGAATATTCCACCTTACACTGTGGCCGCTGCTCATTTGGCCCTAAGCAAGATCAACCATGATCGGACGGATGGCTATGTCTTCAGTCTGCACCGCCTCTCCAATGTCAACCTGAATAGACATGTAAGTGAAACCAAATGAGCCCCATGGATGATGCAGTATTGTTTGATCTAAAACACTGTTTACTCTGTGCTTTTAGTATTTTACATTGAAAATTATGTTTTTTAATTCAAAAAAACTGTTCTGTAATGATTACAGAACAGTTTTTTTGTGAATTAAAAAACATAATTTTTGGTGAAAATACTGGAGTAGGCTTGCTACTTGTCAGACAACGGAAAACTTTGAACGTTGTATAATTTCTCTACTTTAGCAAAGAGTAGCGGTATAAACGGAGGAAAGTATAGGACGCGGCGCGCCTTTCTCTGAAGAACTACTGAGCGGGAGGAGACAGCCAGGTGAGGAAAAGCTGTTCTTATCTATCGATTCAGTATTTTTATCATACAGACATTAGGCTGTTGTTCTTGTGCTATGAGCTAGCTGCTAGCTAATGACTTTGCTAGCAAAGCAAGATAACTAAAAAGCCTCCCTGTGTCGTTAATGATAGTAGGACATTCTTCAGTATTACTTATGCAATAGGGGCACATCGCCCGTCAAAAACCTATCATCTCCATTAAGGATATATGTCTGATTTTCTCATTTCCTTTGCTGCATGATGTACATTGCATTTATTCTAGCGTTAGGTAAATGTATCTTGAAGGAGAACTCATCCAGAACTACCATGATAGATATATGATAGATATAATGTATGAAGCTGGTGAAAACAAAACTGCGCAGCTTATGCAAGGAGGATCGGTTGTTAGACCTTCTTTTGTTGGCAATCGAGAAGAATGTGCCAATCATTCACAGTGAGGTTATTAACATTTTTAAAGACATGGCTAACAGAAAACTGCTGCTGTGAACAAAAGAGAACAAAAATAGCAAAAATGCTTAAAAGATGTAAATTTGTTTTTAAACAGTTAAATCACCATGACGGAAAATAAGTTTTTGGATCATAATCTTGGATTTAGTTTGGGGGAAAAAGAAAGGCAAGAGACTGAAATAAATAAGACATTGACCTTCACTCAACACAGAAAAGATGAGACAATGAGGAAAAAAAGAAAAGAGAAACTGACAAGAAAAAACGAAGAGGAAAGATTGAAGAAAATGTATATAGGTACTTACAAAATACACTAAGACACAAACAGAGTAGGCTTTTCTCATGGTGACATTCATTAATAAAATGTTTGCTTTTGTTCTTTTTTTTCTGCAGTTCCACGTTAAAGTTTGATGCAGCAGCTCTGCTTTTCTGAATGGACCGTCTCCATCTCCACTGTCAGTACAGCAAACCAGGCAGACATTCTTTTTTATAGATTACAGTACACTAAAAGGTTGCATTGTGCCCTTGTATGCATTTTTAACAGTTTAATTCTGTAAAGACAAAATATGTCTGGTGGTCCAGCTCTGATTTACATCTTTGGCTAAACTGCAGGTTTGAATATTGTAATACTTTCCTATAAGAAAATAGACCTGCAGAAAGAAATTACTAATAAAATAGCCTATTTTACATATACATAGTTCTATGTTCTATGTAGAGTTTCTCTTAGCTTTGATTGTATGTCTCACAATTTTGTAATTTATCATTGTTCATTAAACTCTGAAAGCTATGAGACTTTGTTAATATTCTGTCCTAAAATGCGATAAAATGTGCCCTTTTTTTTTTGAGCACCTGCCCCTTTAGTGGTCTCTGCACGGCCCTGGCGCTGACGACCCGGTGAGTAGCATATAAAAAAAAAAAGAATGTTTAAGGTTGTTTTAAGGACATCATCGGACATGCACTATGGAAGCCATTCTGAAGCAGCCAGGGGGGGACTCTGCATGAGCCAAATAGCAGAGACAGGACCAATCGTCAAAATTTTGGTGTCAATCATTCGATTTCATCCTGGACACTACAGAAAATGGGCTAAAAGTGTTAAAAACCGGAATTTTCCTTTAAGTATTTCTGATTCTGATTCCTGGTTGATGGGACAGGTGTTGTGAATGAAACGGTGGCCACCTTAAAAGAGCTCCTGTGTGTCGCTGAATGTGAGCATTGATGACTGAAAGACATCTTCTGCCTCCATTTATCTGTTTACTACAGTCTGTTGAAGACATCTTAATGTTGATTTGAAGATATTTCAATTAGTGGAAAAAACTGCAGGGGGGAATATAAAAAAAAAGGTTTAGGTTACAGCTATCCTATACCTGTTTCACCTCTTTTCTCTGGTTCATTTGTCATTTATGTTGAAGACTATCTAAAAATATAAGTCATGTTTTTAGATATTTTATGCGTCAAATCTTGATATTCTTTCTCTGACTTTTTGAAGAACTAAAAAAATCTAGAGTCTATGTTTCTGTTCTTACTATTAAACATCTTTTATATAATCTTCTAATTTCCACTCTTTTGTCAGATATTTGACTTATTTTTACTCAGAAATGCAGATCTGCATTGATGACTGAAAGACATCTTCTGCCTTCATTTATCTGTTTACTACAGTCTGTTGAATTCATGTTAATGTGGATTTAAAGACATTTCAATTAGTGGAAAATATTGCAGGGGGGAATATGAGTCTAATTAACCAAAACTTCGCGACCCCCATGCAGTACCTCTGCGGACCCCCTAGGGGTCGCGGACCCCCTGTTGAAGACCTCTGATCTAAAAGGTAACTTGGTTTGCTATCGCTCAAATCGGCTTCTGTACTGGTTGGATCTTTTCTTTAAGTTAAACTAAACTGATTTTATACCAACATAATGAATTTTTCTATGGATTTATGACCTTAAAGAAGTTCTGTCTATAAACTCAAACTGTAAAGGTTTCTGACTCATCACTGTTTTAATAGACAGCTGAAGGTTTGCCTTGCTTATAGTACTTACTGTGTACCTCCTGTAGTCTGGCCTGCGTTCCTGAGCTGCGTACCTGGAGCTCATCTCTGATCTCTGCTGAGTAAAAAAAAACCTTCTCTCTGATGCAGCTTCAGCTCCTTTGGGACTCGGATGAAATCTCTCCTCCTGAAAAGGCAGAGATGAAGAGTGAAAGGCCTGGATGGCTGGAGGGTGATGATGTCACTGAGGCGTGAGCCTTCAGACGGTTGCATGGGAAGGACTCGGATGAAACTGACACTGAGTTACACAACCAGAGCCAGGACTGCGCACAGCTAATTGGCTGATATCAGACAGGCTGGCTGCCTCTGATCAGCCCCTCTGAAGGCTAGTTAACCAGTTAACTAAATAGGGGACTACTGGTTTGTTAAACCAGAATTAGATAAGAAACAATCTGTGATGGTCCTGAATAAACCCTAAATCTGTTAAGTCAAA